ATATTTGATATGGATTTAAGAGAATTTTCATTTAAATTAAAGAATGTAGAAGATATAACAAATAATATTTTCGAATTAAGAGGTATGAAATATATTAAAAAGTTTTGGGTATATTGATTTATAAAGTATCAAATTGAATTAAAAATATATTTTAATTATATTTATAATTTTCAAAGAGTTTTCTATAAGGATTCTAAACTTTTTGAAAAATGATTTTAATTAATTACAAATATATAAGCGAAATAAAATATTTTAAATAGAGATTTTTATAATTTTAATAAAATAGATTTTATAATAGGGATTATATATGTAGTAATAATAATAACTAATATTAAATAAAATAGTAGAAGTAAAATAGTATAGTTAGGTAATCAAGAATGGGTTATAATAATAATATATGGAAATAGAGAGAATAAAACTATTCTTTTATTTCTAATAATTTAAGAATAAGTTTATCTTTTTAATTAATATATTAAAATGAATCTTTTTGTGGAATAAATTATTAAATTTATATTTAATGAATGAATAAATAATAAAATGGGTTTAGAATGATTAAAATATTTCGATAAATATATTAAGAATTGAAGAAAAGGTAAATATTGAATGTTGATATTGGATGGGTATAAAAATTATAAATTAATAGCTTTTTAAGTATATTATAAAAAGAATGATATTATATATTTATATTTATTATTATATTTAAGTTATTTAATTCAATTATTTGATATTGATTGTTTTAGTAATCTAAAATGCTTATATAGTAATTAAATTAATGGATTTATTAAGATATATATTAATTATATTTTGAAGATTGAATTTTTCATAGTTTTTAAAATTGTATATAAAGAATCAATTATTTTTTAGAATATGAAATTAGGATTTCGAGGAATAGATTTAATCTTATTTAATTTTGAAATTGTATTTTCGAAATTAGATATTCGAATTTGTATATCTATTTTTCCTTTTTTTTGATTTAAATTAATAGATTTCTTAAATCTTTTGTAATCCAATTAAAGCTTTTTTTTAATTAATATTAATTAAATCTCAAATAATTTGTTATTAAATAAGCTCCTCTATATCTATATTCAAGATTATATTAATTTTAATTAAGAATATAAAGAGATTAATTTATAAAAATATATTTTTAAATATAGAGATTTATATATTTTGAATAGTAAATAAAATATTAAATAAGTATTAATATATATAAAAAATTTAATTATATTAAAAAAAAGTGTTTATTGAATAAAAGACTTTTGATATATTATTTTAGTAAGAGATTAATATTCAGATTTAATATAATAAGTATTAAAAAGAAGAGAATTCTAATAGAGAAGTATTTTCTAATTGATATTGTAGTAAATATGGAAAAATAGGATATAATATAAGAATCTATTGAAATAATATAATAGATTCTAGATTACTAGATTATTAATAGTTTCAATTAATTGATTTAATTATTGTTGAATAATATGGATTTGAAAGTGTAAATTGAGGTGAAAGTAGGCTACTTGATGATATGGGTTACTTGATGATAAACCACGTTATCTCAAATTTTATAATCTTTTAAAAACTATTTATAAAGTTTAAATAATGTTACTTTTTCTTTATTTATATGTTTCTTTTAAAGATATTAATATAATATAAGAAATTTATTAATATAATAATAAAATTGTATTTTGTTTTTTTGAATTATATAATAGTTTCAAAGATTTATATATTTATTTATTTCATTTTTTTAATATAATATTAAAGTAATCAAAGATTCATTTAAATCTATATCTAATAATAATATTTCAAAAAGTATACTTTCAAGTATATTAATATTATTAATAAATTATATATTATTATTTAATTAATTAAATCTATTAATATAAAAAATGAGTATACAAATTATCAGGATTTTATCTATTAATAATAAAACCCCTTCTCTTTAATAAATTCAAACTCTTTCAGGTTTTTTTTTAAAATAATTTAATTAATACTATTAATATTAATTTAATATTCTAAACTTTATAATATACTAAATCAAAAAATAATCTATTTAAACATAAATTATATGAAGATTTTATTGTTAAAAAAACCAAGAAAATCAAATATATAAACAAAACAAGATTTCTTTTTTGATTAATTAAAAACTATTTAATATAATTATTTAATTCTAGTTTTTATATAACGTGTTTTATCACCGAGTGGATTATATTACCGAATGGATCATTTGAAATTACATCAAAATTAGCTATTTTTAAATATTCTTATTTTAATAACAAATCATTATTTCTAAAAATCAAAAGAATTTTATATAATAAAAAAATTCAATTTCTTGGAAATTTTAATTTTTATATAAATATTTCTTTTATATTTAATAAAAAATTGAAAATGTTATGATTTTTGTTATAAAGAAACTATTTATATAATAATTCTTATATTAATTTGAATATCCAAGAAAGAATTAGATTTTCATAATATTTTTATAAATAAATTTTATATATTAAATTTTTAAAAGATTCTATTTATAAATAAAGAAAGTTTATAACTATATATAGACGAATTTTGTATGTAAATTGAGTGATCCATTTGGTGATATGATCCACTCGGTGATAAAACACGTTAATTAATATTATATATATATAATATTTGAGATCAAAATTGATTATTTATTAAATGAATATAAAGAAAATGATTTTATATTTTTTATTCTTTTATTTATATTAATTACAATTTTTTTCAAAAAATAAATCCTTATTTTTCTTTATTAAATATATATAATAAATATATAAATAAAATATAAATACATAGAGTTTGAAATAAATATTATTAATATTATAAATGAAAACTAAATTATAAATATATACTAAACATTCTTATTCTGAATATGTTATATTATCTTTTAATTTCTATTTTTATTATTTATCTTTTATAGTTATTAATAGATTAATATAATTAAAAATGAGTTATATATTTTCCAGAATATATTTATATATTTATTTTGAGTATTTCTGATAATATTATAAATAATATATACTCCATTTTTATTCAATTTTTTCTAATTTGTATAAATATTTTAAAACCATTTTTCTAGTTTAATAAGATTTACAAAAATAACCTTTTTCTTTATATATTTTTAATAAGATTATTATTTTATAATATTTTTAAAAAAGAGAAAAGAGATTAATAAATAATAAATAAAAGTCTTGAAACTATATATATATATATTGAAATTGAATAATGAAAGCTTTAATAATATATATATTATATGGGGGTTTGCTTAAAGTATTATTATATTGAAATTTAATTTTATATAAAATCTGTTTCTTGGGAAGCTATAAGTGATCTATATATATAATATAGTATTTTAATTAATAAAATATTAATAAATATTGTAACTTATACCAAATATGGGGAAAGTGTTATATAAATTTGAGAAAATAATTAAATATTAGTTTTTATTGATTTATAATAATTCAAATAATATAGATTTTAATAAATTATTTGAATTCCCTGAATCTAATATATTAGAAGTTAATAAAAAGGAAGAAGAGTTATTAATTATAATAAAACCAAACGCCATTTTATTATATTAATTATGTAATTTAATATTATAAGTTTTAAATTAATTAAATGATTCTTGATTAAAGAATTAATAAATTCAATTATTTATTTATATTAAATATATTTATTTATTATAAATTTACATATATTAAAATAATTATATAAATTCTATATAATTAATAAAAAGCAAGGTCTATTATTAAAATAAGTATTGTAATTCAATAATAATGATAAATTTTATTATATTATTCGAAAAATTAAACATATATTATAACGTGTTTTATTAGTATATAGGTTATATTAGTATACGGATCATTTCGAAAATCATCTAAATTAAGCTTTTTAAAATATTAATATCTTAATAATCAATTATTGTTTTCTTGAATAAAATATTTTAAAAAAAAATTAAAATCTAGATTTTTTATTATTCTAATTTTTATAAAATAATTTTATTGTTTTTTAAAAGAAAAAGGAAATTGTTATGATTTTTATTACAAAAAAACTATTTTTATAATAACAACTTTATGAATTCGAATTTCTTAAAATTAATTAGATTTTTAAAAATTCTATATATTCAAATATTTTGTATCGAATTTTCAGAAAATTATATCTATAAATAAAGAAAGTGTATAATTATACACAAACGAATTTTATATATAAAATAAGTAACCCGTATACTGATATAACTTATACACTGATAAAACACATTATATCGTTTTTATAATAATATATAACGTGGTTTAACACCGAATATACTATATCACCAAGTGCACTACGAATTTTACATACAAAATACATCTGTGCATAACCATGCACTTCCTTTATTTATTAATATAATATGATTTTTTAAAGAAATTATTACATTTATTTATATAAATAATATGAAAATCGAATTATTTTTTTAAAAATGTGAATTAAAATAAGAGTTATTATTAAAATAGTTTTTTTTGTAACGAAAATCATAACAATTTTGATTTTTTTAGAAATATAATAGGAATATTTATATAAAAATTAGATCTCTGAATATTTTATTTTTTCTTATTATTCAATATATTTTTTTTTAATTGGAATAATGATTTGTTATTAAAATACAAATATTAAAAAAAAGATTAATTCAGGTATATTTTGAAGTAGTACACTCGGTGATATAATGCACTCGGTGTTAAACCACGTTAACGAAATTGCGTTTTATATAATACAAATAATTTTTCCAAGATTTCTATAATTATATTATACAAATTTTAGAAATTTTTCTTGCACCAGGCAGAAATCTATTTTTAGTATATTGGCAAAATGATTCAAATGGGCCTCGGTAACCATGAATTCGAAATTCACTCACCACATCTATTATCTTCTTTGCCTCGATACAATCCGGCTTCGGCCACCTTGATACCACTTCTTCTACGGTCCTTAATTACCCACTTGCTCAGTTCTCTCCTTCCGCATAAATGACACAATCAAACTTCACCTCCGCTCTCCTAGCGGGAGCCCTCGCCGGTACCACGGTCGACCTCACCCTTTTCCCTCTCGATACTTTAAAAACCCGCCTACAATCTTCCGCCGGCTTCATTGCCTCTGGAGGCTTTACAGGTGTGTATCGGGGAGTAGGTTCTGCCATAATTGGCTCTGCGCCCGGAGCTGCATTGTTCTTTTGTACATACGAAGCTACCAAAAGCGCATTTGCGAAACGACGAGATACCTTAAATGCAAATATACCTGGGGGTCGCGAAACGGGGAAAGCAGTTGAGCATATGGTTGCAGCAAGTCTGGGAGAGATTGCCGCTTGTGCGGTTCGTGTGCCTACGGAAGTTGTCAAGCAGAGAGCTCAGGCGGGGCAATATTCAAGCTCCTTACTCACGCTCAAGGCGATTTTGGGACAATACAAACACATTGGGGTTGCAGGAGTGTGGAGGGAACTCTATCGCGGTTGGAGTGTTACCATAATGCGGGAAGTGCCGTTTACAATCATACAATTTCCTCTCTGGGAATCTATGAAGGCATACAGGAAGAGAACAAGTGGAAGAGATACTGTGAACGCAGTGGAGAGTGGGCTTATAGGAAGTCTTGCGGGCGCAGTCGCGGCTGCGGCTACTACCCCTTTGGATGTGCTGAAGACGAGGATGATGTTAGAGAAGCAGAAGAAGTCGACGAAGGTATTGTTGAAGGAGATAATAGCTACGAGTGGTCCTAAGGCATTCTTTGCAGGGATAGGCCCAAGAGTAATGTGGATTAGTATTGGAGGGGCGATATTCTTGGGTAGTTATCAATGGGCATACAACGAATTGGCTAAGGAGGGAAAATGAATAGAAGGAAATGATACATAGGGTTAAGTTACTGGTGGGGCAAATAGTCTGATGGATTGACTAGGTACACATAGATAGCTTGATGACCACGTAGATACCCTCTCTCTAAGAGCATGATCTCACGATCCATATGAACACAAGTGTAATATTGCCTTAATATACCCATAGCCTACACAGAATTTAATGTCACAATCAACAATTGAAGACAAGCTCGGAGGCTAATCGGTCCTTTCCCAGGAGATATGCACCCAAATACCAGCCAACCCTAAGAATTGTACAAGCGCTTCTGAAGGATAGGGTATAATGGTACGTATGCTAAAACTTGACTCATTGCAAGCAAGACTATACACATCCAACAACTGTCACACAGCTAATCTGGGTGCTTCAAGACTGAATTGAAATGTTGCCCACTCCCTCTTCATCGCCCCAAACTAATACATGCAGGATGAGTATATATCGGAAGATCAATTAGGAAAATCCAGGACAATCCAGGACAATACACCCCTCCAGCATTGCGGTGGTATTACCTAAATTGCAAATCTATTCATTGCCATCTAGCAATTTGTATGTCTATGCTCGAACGATTTAGTATTGACCACAGTATGACTTCTTGACTTCGAAGCCAGTTTTGGAGATAGACTCCGGGGAAGCGAGGTGTAAGTGAGGCGATTGACTTAGCCATTACGCTACCAAATGAGATGCCATATTGAGTTCTTCGGGTTTGTACAAGTCAATATCATGATTAGACAGCTCAAATGAGCTATGGGAAGTAGTAGTTGATTGGTATCTATCAACATCAAAATCGAACTTAATTGCTATAAGCGCGGCCAAGCTTCACTGCTGTTACTTTTCGACCTACTGTGATGACAAAAACGTATCGCTACATTATCACTTCATAATCACCGCCATCAAGAGCCATTCGAATCACTGTTCCCATAATGAGAGCATAGTCGCACATACATTTCCGCACATTCTGTTCATGAGGAATCGAAAATCAGCTGCCGAAATGTTGAAGAATATCTCGCTTCCAGCTGGAGCTTCTTGGAAGACATGGGTGGTTTCAATTTGCAGGTATTTGCTAAAGGATAATGTGTTTCATGAGATTTACATAGTCCATCTTAGCCGTGATATTTCAGGTCACTGATAGGCCGTAAAAAGGTGGGTTGCGATCTACGCAACGCATGAGTCAACTAGTTTTGCATATTGGTCAATTGTCTCTGGCAGCTATCTGTTTAGTATAGTAAATGAGACATAACGTTAAAGCATAAGCTAAGTTAAAGAATAAACAGGTCAATCGTGTACATGGAGGTCTTATTCTCATAGGACAACCCATATAGTATCCATTTCCTCCGGAAGACCGCACGTTCTCTTTCTTGAGAGTAGTTTAACACTCAGATATATCCGCATGCCTAGTATTCGTGGGGCATCTATGAAATTGGAGGGCTTATGATCATCCTTCTGAATGGCTATACTAATGCAATGACTATACTATCTATAACCCGTATATTCAACATTTTCTTTCAGTCAAAGGCATATATTGTGGTAACTAAAAAGCAAAACTACTACCCAGGATAGGCACATACTGTATTACTGGCATGCTAAACGCAAATTCATAAGGTTGACGAGGGCAATTACCTTCCACTCAGTCATAAAAATAGCTCTGGAAGTTGCATTACCGAGTCAACGAAATGAACAAGAGGGGAGGAATGGAGATACGGAATTGATGTAACGATACTGGGAGCCAAAGATTCGAATGTGACTCGTAAGGTTCACAGACTTCAAGATCTGAGTGACTTTACGAGGATATGGCCATTCTGTTCAAAAATAGCAGAAGAGTAACGTGGTCATCATCTTCGCTACTATTCCCCAAACTCGGGTTCTTTTGGCGAAGATATACAGCATCATTTCTGGGAGCCGAGATACTTCTCTCAGCAATTTCAGACGAGAAGCTGCATATACAATACGAGAACCAGCGTTTTCAAACAGCTTTGCAGAAATCCTAGCCCCTCTTCCAATCACCACTTTGAACATGTTCTCTTTCGCTCTCGCTCTCGCTCTTTAGGCAGCACAATACAAACTGTCGTAAGTGGCTCAAATTCTCGACAGTGTAACACCATCACTGACGATAAATTCTGAAAGATTGGAAAATCTCAATCAAATACCCATCGCCGACCAAAGCCCAAAGTCGGGCTTTGACAGGCCTAGTAGATCCCGAAGTATAGATCAAAAGTCTAAGTGGGTTTTCTTGATACTTTCAAGGATTCAAGTTGTCTAGACTTTTAGTTCCAATGTTCTAAAAATATTGTTATTACTCTTTTAATCCCATTATTTCAGATTAATTAATTAATCAAAACTACCTAGTTTCGGTAAGTAGGTACTTACCTAAAACAATTTCAATATTTAAAAGGAGTTGATCATTTCAACGTTGTTGATTGTAACATTGCACTCCGGACTACTGGTTACTCTGAGTAAGCACTTTGTTATCAAAATACTACTCCTTCCATGCTGCACCCGGCTATTTCTAACCAGAACAGTCTAGAAACATGCGGAATATACACTAAAAGTAGAGTGGAATCCAGGGGACATTGCGGAAGTCAGCGTACCATTCGTACCTCGTAGCATTGCATGGAACCAACTTCGCGGAAGCGAAGATTATGTTGTTTTGAGCAATTGTTCTTCCGATAGGATTAAGACCTTGAGCTCCGGAACTCACAATTGGACTTTCTATCTTCCCCGAGTACCTATCGTATAGTTTGATTCATTGATATGTTTAAACTAGGTATTTACGCAATCTGGAGGGGTTCGTAGATGGTTGCCTACACCGGCATCTCACTGCCTGCTCGGGCAAGGAAAATTTGGTAATTTTCGAATAACTATCTGTATAACAATACACACAATCTTGTTGCAGCTTATTTTCCTGAAGAAATGAAAAACTTCAGCGATAGCCGGGAGTGGTTCCGGTGCTTCCCCGGTGGACGAATATAATCTAGATCCATTTTTTGGAAGCCTGGTTGTGAAACGAGATAGCACGATAAGAGATAGCTTTTACCCATTCAAATGGAAACGCATCATCATTATTTTTGGGAAGATCTGCGAAGTTTCTCATGTTGCAAGGTGGGTGTCGTGCAGCTTTTGTCCTCTGTAATCCCGTGATCGTTAGTCAGTCTTTGCCATGCGGCATTGAATTGAACCAATCCGGAATTCTGTTAGGCATGCGATAAACATATCACTCTCTTCCATTGTATCGAATGACCGTTTTATTTACACTGTATGTAATACTCGCATAGTATTAGATGCGTAAGTTAGGTGTCTCGGAGTAATTCCGTTGCCTTTCTTCTCGGCGACTACAACTCATCAACTCAACTTACCGGCGACGTCGGTGACACTAATGGAGTAAACTTTGTATTCTGAGACAGTTCAGCTTTATTAGGGTGACGAGTATCTACAGGGTGTCGACATATCGGATCGCATGACGGGGCACTGGTTTGGAGACAGGTGTGAATGCCTACTTGATAGGTCACAGCCGGAAAACCGTTGGGCTATTCAAAACGGGGAGGCACAAAATGAGTGGCAAAAAGTCACTCGGGTCATATGAGTAGAAGGATTTCATTCATGGGTGTTCGGTCGATAAGGAGAGGCTAGACTTGCGCAACTCGAGACATTCAAAATCTAGTCAACTTGACGTGTTATTGGCTGAACAAACGACTTACAATGTTTCAGCGACACCAAGCTACTTAAAATCTCGTTGTCTGGAATTGAGCAGATGGTTTGAAGCCAAAGCAGATTTATGTTGAAGATAATTCGCTTTTCGCGAAAAGCGGTTATATAGAATCTCTCCTCGGCCTCGCATTGGGCCGTCCAAGTTCAAGATACAGAATAGGAAACAACCCGAGGGTTTTTGTAATATCCATTAGGAATAGTAATATTCAAGACCCGGATTTGGTTTATGACTCTTGATACACTGCTAATGGGCCCAAATGGGAAATGGCTGAAACTTTTTACGAGTGCAGATAATCCTTGGAGAACTAAAGAGGCACAATGTTAGAGTCTTCCTCCTATTGGACAAACCATTTCTCTAGAGAACTGGTATTTAAAGCCCCTTTCCATTGATTATCTCATTGTGGAGTTCCTTGGGACCCAGAATACTTTTTGAAACAAGAGTGTCCACTTGGCTTCTAAAAATATTCAGATGCACATCAACACTGACATATACGAATTGGTGTGTGTATGTGGATAGCTGTTCCACCGACTGCATAATGCTTGAAGATCTTGTTTGACTTGCCGCAATACTCCACTTGAAGGTATTTATTAAGCGCTGAAGATGCGCAACCACTAGGACTGCATATGGCGTGTAGGCCATAGATTCTACTGCCATTTCATGTGCAGACTGTGCCTCGCGGAACGGAACGACGTTGTGAGATCTTTGATGGAGATGTTCTTAGGATTCTACGGTGCCTTAACTGGCTTCGATCCGAAAACGAACATTCGTTGAAGTACCCAAAGTGGGATTCAACTCCGAAGTCAATTAAGTGCGGAATGATGAGATTGAAGGTATTGGATAAAGAGCTTAGTGATAAGAATAGCTATCATCTTCTGATGAACAAGGAGAGATCGTCCAGGTAGTTTACCCGGAAATGCATTACAGGGTAGCGAAGGTAGCTTTGGTGAGCGATGTTTGATGCCAATCAAGTGGAAGGATACTTGAAGGAATCGATCATCGAAGGGTACGATAGGTGTGATGGGCGTGATGGAGGGGTGTAAGTCGTTTAATTTTGGTGGCTCGTTGTTCCTACCAGAAGGTTGACCAGGTTTCTGAACCTTGCAGAATAACAAGAGCGTGCCATCCACGTTTTCTTAAAACGCTTTTTGGTACATTTTAGTGTACGTAAAAATACAAGCAGACGGATTTATAATGACTTAGCAAGGGGAATAAATTGAATCTTTGGGGCTATGTCGACATATGAACGATCTTCAACTGTTGAAGACTTTTCTGCAACACTGCCGCATTCTAACTATCAACCCTGAGAGGAGAATTTTAGCGCAGTGCGTTCGTTCACACAAAACACACAAAACACACATCTTGAATATCAAGGATTATGTAAGGCTGGTGGTTGATTATGTTGGGGGCCAAGCCAGATAGATGGGGCTGTCGTCTTAGATCATGGATCATAGAATTCTGGTCCGCATTTTAGATGAGATGAGATAAGATGAGATGAAGCCCCCGTCAGTCAGTCAGCTTTTGATAGTACGCATTGTTGCTGTGCGAATGAGACAAATGCCGTTGACCTGTATCGATGTGTGGGATCATTTGTGAGACTATTCAGGTTCCCCCCACATAGAAATGATTGCTTACTTACATTGCAGTTCGTAGGCTTGACCAATGAGAAGATATCCCGCAATATCCTCCCAACTTGCCAACAATACACAATAGATTTGATGCATAGTAAGAACTAGGTAATCAGTCGATGTGAGTGGTAACCATAGAATGGAGATTGGTACAAGAATAGAAAGATGTAATGTGATGGGTGGAATGAGACTGAGTGTAATGTAGTAATGGAACGGAGAATACCCCGAATTAGGCGATAGGTTTCTTAGCGTCGGGGAACGATCACCCCGATATTCAGTAAGATTCACAGTTACTTTCTCGTTGCCAATGTACAACATAACATTCCAAGCACACACACCTTCTATTTTGAATGAGATGATCATGAGATATGACACAATATCAAAAAAACAAGTCCGGAATGGTCTCTGGCTTTCTACTGGGAAAACTTGTTGACAAGTCTTTATGAAGTCGGCCAAGACACTAGCCATGATTTCACAATTATCTTTCCATTATCCACCTATTTTGAAGCCAGATCTATACACAGAGATGATGCATGTTACATCTTGAACCCAGGTATCTTGTAGTACCCAGTACCTTGTTTAAAAGGAGTTGCCGAAAGAACACCACTAAAGTAACTTTGGCAAGGTCCTCGTATATTATTAACCACTTAATACTCTGCGGGGGAACGGATGGAGATTATGATGATGGGCACTAGAGATTCGAAGTGAACTCAAATCTTTTCACCAGTGTATCTAGCCCTCTTTTGAACGATTACAACCCAGTCCTCATCCATCGTTATACATGATTATTACTTGCCACTATCAATCGAATGATATATCCCGTTAATCCCCCGAGTTCTCCACTATCGTCCAGAACATCATGGATAACATTTCCGGGATTGATGTTAACCTCAAAAGGAAGAAACAAGCTCAGATCAGATTAATAACAGGCATCACCGATGATCTCCCATAGAAGATCAAAGCGTCTATCGAAAGGTTTGACTACTAGACGAGATGCTCTTTATTGTAGCCGCCGTTTAGGAGCGTACCACTGCCGTGCTATCCGTTGCAATATCATCTGGCTCTGATTACTTCTTGGCTTATTGGCTTATGTAATCAAATCTCAGCCTCCAAGCTCGTTTGTTTCAAAAGCTTCTGAAACCTTCGATCAAGGGTGTCACAGAAAAAGTGTTCTTCGCAGTACTCGGCGTAGTGCCATCCTTTTGAAGTGTGGGTGAAAATAAAACCCAATGTTCAGAAGCGAAGTACACTATGTACCGTCATCACAAACAGGATATCGGACAACGTTGCCACGAGCATGACAAGCAAGAAACGGGCCAGAATGTAACGGTTGCACATGCATCATGTATGACAATCATGGGTCATGGTTATCATGAATTCGGTTGCTCCCTTGTGCATAAATGTAAAATATCCTAGTTCAAATTACATTTCACGGTATTACTCCGTACAATTAGTCCGTCTGTCGAGAAGGGACTCAACGGGAGCTCCCCTTATCAATTGCATCTCGATGTGCGAATGATCAACATTGTCAGCCGAGACTAGCCATGTTGACGGCCAGCAGTAGAACCAACATCTGACATATCTAACAAATTGAGAGACAACACATCAATCTTAGGGGGTGAAATGCACGCGCTTAAAATGCCGATTCTTCCCCTGCCCGGAACACGCACAGCCATCTACCCCGTCTCCGTCCGGACCGGTTTCAATTGCGGGGTCAAGTTTTGGCCCGTTGGTCTTTAGAGACGCAAGGGTATGCGGCCTATTTGAAATTTAGCCTTCCGACCAATGACCATCTTTTTCACCAACCAACAGCTCGGATTTTCAGCCAATAGATGGCCAATCCATTCGAGCGGTATCGATGCCAGATTTACAGTCGTTACCATGTAAGCACCCTTCAAAGCAACAAGAAAACGTATGATTAACCCACAAGGAGAGGGGGATATGCCCTGATTTTCTGCTCTTACCTTCTCTATTCGCTCTAGTCTGTCCAAAATCATTTCCCATCTAATTTTTTGTTTCTATTTCCAATTTCTCATCAAGTCATACATCTACTTCTTACATACGGTAAGTACCTTTGTTCCTCCCCGGCCACTACTTCCCGGTCATTTTGCCCTGCTGATACCCCTGTGATTCTCGCTTACCGCACACCGTCCAATCCAACCCATCGACCCGGCATAATGTTCTCCCTTTCTTACTTTCATCTTTGCGCCTACCCTAGCATTCATATAATATTCGTGAGCTATTCATATTCGACCATACCTATTCTTTGTGAGTTTGTACCAACTAGCCCCATCTTATAAGTCAGCATTAGCCTCATTCCGTACCTGCCGCCCTAACCACACCCATCATTCTAAGCAGCAATGACCATGGTTCCATTTCACCTATTGATTAGATACTTGAATAGCCAATAAGCCAACTTACATCCAATTTATATCTAGTAGCCCGAGCTTCTTTCCAACATCGAAACAACGAAATACAAATAATTCCTATCATGTGAATAATTTAATTACAAATTCAGAATTATGTCCCCAATTGGGATTTCACGAGGTGCCCAATGATCTTGAGAGAATCGAAATTCATTTCAACTCCTGGTACGATGATAGAGACAGCTGAAAGGGGCATACATGATACAGCATCTAATTCGCAATGCACAAACGAATAGATACACCGAGAGAATTCAAAACAAGGCAAACGAAAATTTCATGATGGTTGTTCAGGTAAGGCAAACAATTTGACTCAGGTGTCAATTCAAAACGGAGTTCTATTTTTCTATGTCATCTTATCTCATCTATTTGATCTGTGCAACTGACAGTCCCCAAATTTTAGAGTTCCAGCTTCAACTCGCTTGTAAACATCCTTCGCCTTCAGTAATTTTTTGAACAGTTACAAAAGATGGGAAAATAGAAATCTCTCTATGTAGTGTACCATATCACATAACTCAGCTCTGATTCATACATATAGTAAGGAAAGGAATAGAAAATAAAAGAAGTAAAAATTTATATCAAAAATTGAAGAGATCCAGAATTCATCATGTCTTTTCCATCCAATCCCATTAGCCCAATTCCAGATTTACCCTGTCGTTTAAAAATCATCTCGTTTCCGAATCCATCGCGCATATTCCCAAATGAATGCATGACCTTGACCTTGCCTACCAAAGCCCAAGTATTTTCTTCCATCCGTCAATCCATCCATCATCCTACCAAGCCTTTATTTCCCAGTGCCGACCGACCGTTTGTGTGACGTTGTATCCCGCTGACGGCGGGATTATAGAATTTGAAAAGGGTATTTGTACGCTGAAGGAGACATAAAGAGAATGAACAAAAGAGAAGTTATAGAACAAGATTGCTAAAGAAGAAAAAAACAGAAATAAACGATCAAAACAATAAGTTGATAGAAAACATCGAGATGCCACTCTCATGAAAATCCACCCAACAGTTTGTAAAAGTACATGTGATGAGTTGATATTGGAAGCGACCGAGGTTCGAACCCAAACAATCGGGATTTCACAAATCGCAGATTGCAAGAACAAAAAAAGGGTGGAAAAATTCCCCAAAATGACACCGAGTATAATTACACAACGCAAAGCAAAACAGCACAACCAAACAGGTAGGAAAGGGGAAAAAGGGAACAGTTGACCCGATGCAATGCAAGGCAGGGCAGCCAGCATCGCGACTGCACTTCCCAATGGACGCGTGAACGAGCGCTCAGCATTCATCTCCCAATCTCGCATTTGAATTCGTGCGGTTGGTCGTGCGTCGTACAGCCGGTTGTGGAACCATCAGCGACCCCAACCTTACAAGTATTCTTTGGCGTATGGAGAAATGTAATTATTTGGATTTGAACCGGAAGTATCTTTTAGTGTGGTAGTATACATGATGCGGAATGAATAGTGCGGCGGTACAATACGATACCAAAAATGCAGGTTGGTGCTGACATCTGACATCCGTCTATGCACGTCGGTTTTTTTCTGGAATAATTTATTTATGATTGATGACTGATGATGACTGCTGAGTTTGAACCGAAGCGCTGAGCTATCAAAAATCTAGGTGATCTTTTCGTATTTTGCAGTATTTTGTGTAAGGCTCTGATGGAAATGAAAGCGAATTGAAACAATCTTCAAATTCCCTCGGGAGTTTTATGCCCATGGTATCCTTCTTGCCGTGACCGTTTTCATATGTTCTCCTTTGCGCCAAATCATAATGATAGTGAAATCTACTGAGTATGCCATATAGGTTCATGATTGTGATGTTCCGAGCTTGTCGTCATTAGATATGGAGCCCCTGATGAGGCTGATGTAAGAGGGCTAACCATAGCGTCATGAGGCGCATGACCAGAGCTTCCGCTGTGTGGAGGTGATGAATAGTGGGAGTCCTGAATGTAAGATGGATTCCGTCCCATCTGATCTGGATGAGGTGGAAGCACTAGCTTTAGTGTGTTCATGGTGTTGTTGTCCATAGCGTAGTTCTGAGGTCTGAAATCAACAGTTTCGATATCAAAGCGTTTAGAACAACCATCTTCCATATGTCTATTGTATTTGTTAGTTTGAGGGAACAGTAAAGATACAGAGTGGGAGGGAGGCGTACCTTCTCAGTGTGTCTTTTCTTGCAAAGAATCTACTGCAATAGTCACACTTATGGTTTCGTTGCTTCATGTGAACACTCTGGTTGTGGCGTTGAAGGTCCGTCTTCCGGACAAATTTTTTTGTACAGTTGTCCACGGTACATGGAAATGGATACTCTCGGTCTGCATCATGTGTTTCCATATGCGCCTTGTAGTTGTAACTACGACCGAAAAGCTTTCCACATCCTTTAACACGACATTGGAAGTTTGCATCTTCCTTGGTGGTGAGCTTTCGAGGTCCCCTGGTCCTTGCTACTACGCTTGGACGTCGAAAATCATGTGATGGTGATGTATCCTGACTTTCGGATCGTCTGTCATAATTCGGGATTTGTAGAGCCGAGAATGGTGGCAAGTCAGTGGAAGTGTATTCAACCTTTTGTCCCCATTGTAATTGGTCGTAGTATGAAGTCTCGAGCGACCCTGGGTAAGTAGTTGTTGCACCAACATATTGAGTGTGGCCATTGTGGGGGGAGCCTAGTGTGAAAGAATCACTATTTGGAGCATATTCTGTATGGTCTTCCATCTTTATACGCGGAGTGTAAGAAGGTATTGATCCTGCTTGAGTAAATATCTCTGAAGGTGGAGCAGAAGAAAGTGAAGAGCGATGAGAGGTATTGCTGGAGTGAAGTGGAGAAGCTGGAAGAATGGATATTTCGGCAGTCTGGGAAGTGGTATATATATCAGAAGTGAAAGGAGCTGATACTGCCGGATTATAGGAGGCAAAGGGATCATACTCCGCGGAAAGGATGTTAGGAGTCGATCTTGAGGACCTGGGCGAATCACGGTGTTGCAAAGGCGTATCTGCCCAGTGGTTGGCGATCACAGCCGATGAGCCTCCTGACTCCGAGCTAGCATCCTGATTGTCCATTGCTGGTGGAGATCCTGGAATAGAGCAAGAATAGAGTCCCAAGCCTTGAATAGAATCCGTTGATCTGTATCTCGAGTCACTTTGAGCCGGTGAAGGATATTCAAAGAGTGGCTGTGAGTGGCCTGAGAATGTGAAAGGCGGTGTTGGGGAACGAGTGGATTGAGGTGTCAACTCCATAGTGTTCATAAGAATGGAGAAGAGATATTAGGAGAAGTAGAGAAGTGATGGAAGGAGCAAATAGCTAATGTAACAGTTGGGGGCTAGAAGTGTGACTTGAGTGATGGCTTATAGTGCCAGGTACTGGTAGATCACGACTTGGAGATGTGTAATAAAGATCCCTGAAATGTGATGTGATATTTCATACAGAATCTGAGGCGATGACTGTGGAGAATGAGGACTTGGACCGTGGCGAATATAAACCTGAAGGAATCGGGAGTTTGGGGAGCTTTGGAAGTGATATCCAACAGGATGGGAAAGGTTGAAGATACAATATGAAGCTACAAGAATAGCTGGAGCTCAAATACTAGGAAGATTGAAGGATGTAGGGTGGTAGGTGAGCTGTATATTTCTTGTTCTTTCGAGGAAGAGAAAGGAAGACCACGAGCATCTAAGTATTGCAAGGCAGATTTCCAAGGGTTGTCGTGCTTTTGAAAGAAATATATATAAACATAGCGGCTTCAACGAAATCCTGTAACTCACCAGGGTTGCGGCAGTCTAGGTTGGCATACGGAACTAGTTAGAAGAGGAAGCAGGGGGGTGAGCCCCATGGAAGTTCAAATCGGTGGCACCCCTGTCATATAAGCCAACTGCAGGAGACGCACTGGTCGAAATCCGACATAAAGGTAACAAAACTTACCCGTAAGCAAGGATATTATGCTAATTCTGCTCTATTATAACGCCAAGTAAATTAAATAAATTAGGATAAGAGTGCAAAGTAATATGGGGAAGGACAAGTGGAGGTTTTATTGTTGTATGGGGCAAGTTAGTACAATCGAACTGACTGTATGATTTTTTAGTTCCTCGTTTGGAAGAGCTAACGACCCCAAAAGATTGTTAGAAGCAGTAGCTGAAAACGTAGAATGCATCTAATTGAATGAAATCGGTATTTCCAACAGACGGTTTGCAAGACAACACTTCAAGTTGCTATATTTGATGATATAAAGCAGGCTCAGGGGCCCATTCGTCCCAGGGTCTTGAGGAAGAGTGCAAAATGGAAGACTAAGCCTTGTCATTGTTGTCAGATAGATCTGACAATGATTGGCTAAGATGTGATTTGAGGTATCTTTTTTGGCCATCTCGTAATTTGATCTCGTTTAGTGTGAGTGCTGAGGCCGTTGACTGTATTTGGGATGTGCTCTCAAATATCGGGATATCTTTCACCATCTGATAATGAGATTCTTATCCGCAAGGGTTCCCGCTACGACACCACGCTCAATTATGGAAAGTTCGCGAGAAATCCAGGAACGTCTAGGTAAAGGTTTCCTGACTCCATCATTACCATATGTGAAATACATGTACAAGACTTCTCAACAGTCGATCGTAGAGTAGATATCTCTCACATCCCGGATGTATGATCGTACCGGAACCGGAACGCTGTGTGGATTAGAGATAACATGGTTGGTTGCCCTGTCGAATAGCACGTTGTCAATAGCACTTGGATTTGTATTTGATCTTTCCAACCCAGTGTCTCGAGAATCATCACTCATGTTAATTGGTATTTGGTAATGGGGAATATCCTTCTAGAGGGCAAACGTGTTGGATGACTGTACTCCGAGTCTCCGCAAGGTTACTAGAAAACGCGCTACAAGAATTAAAAATTGACACTAATCATCATAACCATTAGTGACCGTTCTAGTGTCTGAAAGCTTATAATTTTTTACTTCTCCACTAATCACTTCCATTATCTCATCCAAATATTAATTAGCTCGAGACTGGGTAGCTAGGTGCCAGGTGGTAGATATCCTTTGCCATTGACGCGCAAAATCATCAATTTACCCGCTGTTTGGGTATTAAAATCAGATCAATCTTACTTTTTCAACCAGTCATTCAAGACATTCCCAATCAAATGCCAGGGAGATGACGATTGAAAAAAGTGCGCACAGCCTTGAGTAGTTTAGTAGCGACGTTAGAACTTAGGACAGTAGGAAACGGCTATTAGAATGGGCCAGTAGGAACCATACCTCAGATAACAAACAACACCATAACAATATTTTAAGGGTTCAGGGCTGTACATTACGGTACTGTACTCTATTATGGCATTTCTGAGTGGACCACATGTTTAGACCCACGGTTAAGTCTGGTCAGATGAATGAAAATAGGGAAATGGGAAAATTGATGAATTCAGATCTTACAGCATGAAAATAATGCCTTGCTAGATACATCGTGGAGGTCAGGCTGCAGGATGGTCGATTGGTCGTTTTACTTGTTGTAATGCGTTACGTTACTGTATCTTTGTCTACTTGCTTGCTTCCGTATTATTCTTGGGTCATCGAGTCGAGATCAAGATTGGTATTTTTGTCAGATAACAGTCAGAGAGGTTCGGCTGCCTGCAGATGGGGGAAACAGGTTGTCTCGGCTGCCTCTGCCCTAGATAAGATTAGTATGATTTTAAGAGATTTCGACATTTGAAGCAGCATTAAATCCTCCACTTCTGGTTTAGCTGCAATAAAGCTCGTTGAAAAATGAGGCCACTCAAGCCGCTGTATTTTGTAAAATTTGTAAGTGACAGGCTACCGAGTATGACCCTGAGTGGCTCCTACCAACACAGTTAAGGGACAGCTCGTTTAGGTCGATTTGCGGGTGTGCTTGATCAGTGCATCAGAGGGCTTAGACCGGTACAACTATCCAAGTATCATCAAGATCTTGGCTGATCAGTATGATTACCTCAGTCTTTCACTCTACCCACACCTTTTGGAACGATTTGCGGATTGTCGTTGCATCATAGAGCCATTTGTTTAGTACATTTGCTCCCCTCCTGCTCCTCTCCTGATCCCCTTCATTCACGCGATAGGATGGATGTAGCTCATTTTCTTCTCCTTCCTCCCAATTACTTGGGTCCGTATGTTCGTACCTTCGATCCAGTCAGAAGCCCAAGTTTCCAACCGAGTTCATAGGGCCAGTTGTTCCCACATACCATCTAGCCTGCCCTGCCAATCTAATTATCGACCGTGCGAATTTTCGGTCTAGACTAACAAGCATGTAGATCTTTTTAGGACCGGATGGGTACATATAACTTTAATGGTCGGATCGCACTTTATTGAAAAAGAGGCTGTTGGACCGAAATGACAATTTTCCACTTTATTAATAATAATGATCAAATCCCGACCCATGGAAACCGAACGGTGAATGCCATATTCCGATGTTTGAATCCAACATTTGCTTGATTAGATGTCCATCTTCTCTGCTCATCCGCTCATCTAATCCCATTTTTGGAAATGTCTAAATTTGACCTACCGCAATGAATGTGATGATATAGAAGATGTCAGACAGCCTAAGATCCATCAAAAGCCTTCTTACACCTGGCCATTGAGTCGATCACTTTCCAACAACCACACCTCGTCTCTGGTAAAGTAGAAAGCACGAGAGATCGTCTCGTCTGCCTGTGCTCCCCGAAAAAATGCCCTTGAGATGTCCACACACCCATACTGATCTAGCTTCATACCCTAGCTGTTGGAACTGAAATTCCGACCCTTGTAAGTTCGTCCCAAATAAATCCCATAGGTTGAGAGCGGCTTATAGCCGGATGTGGTTTTCCTGCGACAGCGCTTAGATCCTTGAAGGTTTTCAAACCCGACTGGCCAGTACAAGCAGGAGAGAAGGTCAGTAGATGGAGGAAGATGAGGGGGAGGAAAACCAAGTTTTGGGGCCATCCGATGTTGTGTGATTATGGAAGAGATGCAGATGCACACTTACACGCGATGCAATGCTACACTTTCCCGTGGGTAGATTATCATGTACAAAGTGACTGTACGTGAAAATCCCTCCTCGCCATGCATATATCTTTGTTTCGGAATAATGAATAATATCTATATTTATCAATGATGCATCTGGGTTTCGTTCATGTTGGTCCATTCGAAGTGATAACGGCCCTACGACCGGTACCTTCTTCGTGAGGTCGAGAATAGACCTGAGATGATCATATGCTAATGATGCAATCACACATCCCTGTTTGTTCGATGACTCTTTTCTTTTTTTTTTGGTTTTGGCTGGCCCCCGTACTCGAGCTCGATACTTTGATACCGCAAATCTGCCTTGAGGAGGCAGACTTCGCGGTTGTTGTTCAGCCTCTGCACATGAATCATGTAAACGAGCTTCGATATCCTGGATGTGCAGGTAAACTACGAAGGAACCACGAGATAGAATCATCTAGTCATATTCACTACAAAACCCTATAAGTAATTTTCTACCTACAATTTCAAAATTCCATCTGCATTCCGCCGAGGCTGTAGTGGGGCTTCCATCCCCTCCTACCAGTTCCGAAAATCCTTCTTTGAATGTAATATTACCTACATAGACCTAGATCACATGAATATTGACACCTTGATCATAACAACAGCAACCTCAAGTTCTAAAAAAGAATCTAAAACAAAAACTTCTCCTTTGGGCTATCAGGATTCCAAATCCACCATCCAATCCAATCAACTCCAATCCAGGACCCCCATCTAATCACCCACACATCAAAGGATTCGAAACAACACTGTACCTACATACTGCTGCGTATTCACACAGAAACGCAAGAAATGCCAAACATGCTCTATCTGTCCACGAATAAAACCCCGGGTAACATATCCGAATCCAACCCAATTTAGTACTCATCGGTTCAGTCCATCTCTATCTAGTAGGTAGCTAGTTCTCTGCGGTGAGACTCCTTCCGGAACCGTCTTTCTTCACGTTAAATTATCATCTAAACTTAAACGAAAGGATTCACATTCTTGCGCAACCACTCCAATAACCCCAAGGCCCATCGCCACCACCGAATAATCCTATCTACCATAAAAATAGGCGACGTAAAATCTGTCAGGGTCTTTCTGCAAGGTACGGTACCTACGTCGTGTATTCGTAAATCGTGCCTGAAACGCGATCTGATGTATAGTATTATCTACGCGGCGCTTCATCCTAATCCATCCCATTTCGTCTCATCTCATCTTACCTCATTCACATGCCACAAACGGCCTGAACAATGAGCAATCTGGGGATACTGGATTATGGCCATGTACGATCCACTCTAGAATAAACATATGTAGACAGGGCTATACAACTACATTGGCACAGACAGGTACGGAGGAATTACTCTCCTCTCCTATCCGCCGACGATTCGAATTTCATGCAGCAAAACCCATGCTTGTCATTGAATCCTTCTCGCGCGAAATACTCAAACAAGCCCTACTCTACCACTCCACTCTACTCCAGCCCAGGTAAAGGTCGTTGAACCATATTCCGTGTCAAATTCCCTTTTGTAAATGAAATCTGTCAACCTGCTGTATTTGGCCGAAAGACGATAAAAGTTACTACGTATGAAAACGAGATGAAATTGTAATGATATTTGATATTAATTTTTACGATCAATGAGATAAGAGACGGCTCGTAAGCTTGGTCAATAATTCCCCTCCTAGTACCGAAAAAGACCGACCAGAAACACCTAACATGATGCTGAAAGTTTTGAAGACTGAAAATTAAGAAAAAGCACGCTAAAGCTTGATGAAAAACGCCAATGAATATACACCCTCTAGGTACGGTAGCTCACATAATTAATGGGCGGTGGCTCCAGACTGTCGTCGCCCTCAAGAACACTGCCAAAGTGGTTAGAATCATATAAATCAATCACAGGATTTTTACTCACGAATACTGTTTAACCAAAATTCCCTCTCCTCCTGTCTCCATGTCTATGCTGTAAATGTAGAAGCCCCCATCGCTCGTCACTACCATTACTTGTGGACTACTGCTACTCATTGCCACAACACTTTTGACTGGACCACTTCGGGGAGTAACTCCCATTCCTCCTTTCGGAAGTTTGATGAAAGCGAAATCTCGCGCTGGCTCCCACATTTCAGTGACAGCTTGGGGCAGGTATCCTCCAACGACTCCAACGACACCCTTGCCCACCATTTGCGAGGATCTCCTGATCATGCTTCCAAAAGTGCCACTAGACTTGTTTTTTTCTATAGGAACATCTGCCATTTCACTTCCAGGTGATATCCCAGCTGGAGGAGAACCATTCTCACTATCAAAACTCCGGGATCGTCTCCATTTATCTTTATCGCCGGGAGATCGTGGGGACTCCGGTAAACCAGTAACAGGCCCGCCCAAACGGAATATATGGATTGTATCAGAGTTTGAAGATACGCAGAGCAGCGTAGAGCTCATATTGAATGACAGACTAAAAATTGATGACGGATAAGTGCCTCTTCGAAATTGGTAGAGCTTTTGTCCATCTGGTACCGAAAATACCCTGATAATGGTTCCTGTTTCTGACGCGGTTGCCAGTAACGTTCCATCATTGTTCAAGGCAATACAAGATAGTGGTGCCCGATGTGCCTCAATAACATTTACAGCCTTCAATGATTTCGCGTCAAATATGAGAACCTCTCCGGATGTCGGTGCAACATATGGAGAGAGTGGTGGTGCATGGGCTGGTCTCTTATCTCCAGTCTCCTCCCTGGGCTTTGGTAGTGGGTATGCCAAATAGCAGTTATCAGATGAAGCGGAT